CCCACTCAACTTACCAGGTTCAAAGAAGGTGGCATGTTGAAAGCCAGATAACCGCACATCCACAGGGGATCCCTCCTGCCCCATCAGCAGCACAGCCTCCGCACTCACTCCCCGGTGCACCACCCCCATCTCATGGCACGCCGCCAGACCTGCCGCCACCTGCCGAACCACAGCTGCGGCGTCAGGCTCGGAGAAGGCCCGGCAGGAAGCGAGGCGATCGGCAAGGTTGCCTCCGGGACAGTGCTCCAATACCATGTGGATGGCCTGGTGTGAAGTAGAGAGAACGTGGGGGATACGGGGGAGGGGGGAGGAAACGGGGAAGGGGATGGGTAAGGGGTCCCTGAGTCAAGTGAATAGAGAGGCTGCCTCGGGGAACGTGCTCCAATACCATGTGGATGACCCGGGTGGTGGGAGGGAAGAAGGGGGATTTTGGGTTGACTCAATGGAGAGCAACTGCCTGTTCTCCCCCACCCACCTGCTCCCCTCAACCTCACCTGCTCTCACCAAAAGCCCACCTGCTCCCCCCCCCAACCCACGTGGCCCCTCCACCCACCTGCTCCCTCAACCTCACCTGCGTGTCCTCAAATGCTCGCAGCATGGTGACCACATGCGGCGCCCCCCGCACCATCTCCAGCATGGCCACCTTGCGCCCCACCGCCTCCACCGCTGCTGCGCTTCTGAGAGCCGCCTTGCACAGCGTGCGGCACCAGTACTGCCTCCCCGTCCTCCTGCACACGCACGCCCGCTCCTCCACCCCCACTGCCCTTGCTCCAGGTGCCACCGCTGCTGCTGCTGCTGCTGCCGCTGCTCCCTCTGCTCCCATCTGCTTGCCCATCCATGCTGTAGGCCGCATGCACATATGCATACGGCCGCCGCAGCACATACCGCCTTGCACTCTCCACTCCTGGCTCCTCCTCTTCCTCCTCTTCCTCCTCTTCCTCCTCCTCCTCCTCCTCCTCCTGCTGCTGCTTCTGCTGCTTCCTGCTGTTGCTGCTGCTGACGCTCTTTGTGCTGCGATTGCTGCTGCTCCTGTTCCCGTAACAGGGCTCCGCTCTCACCCTGCCTTTCTTTTGGCCGTTGCGTTCCCTGCCACCTGAATTTGACCGCTGCAAACGTTGCCACTGTTTCCGCTGCTGCCAATGTTGCCACTGTTGCCGCTGTACTGCTGCTACTTGCCTCAATAAAGCGGGAACAGGAGGAGGGAGACGAGGAGGAAGAGGAAGGGGAGGAGGAAGGGGAGTATGAAGTGGAAGAAGCCGGACTAGGTACCAACTCCTCCTCCCCACAGGAACTCTCACCAGCCTTCACCCGCCACCCCTCCTCCCACCACCCTTGGTCTCACCGGCCTTCCTCTGCTGCACACCACTTAGCCGACTGCCCACCATGCTTCGCACGGCCACCATCACGAGCCCTCACGAAAGCACTCACCTGCCCTGCGCTCACCTGCCCTGCGCTCCCCTGCATGCACTGGCCGCAGCAGAGGAGCAGAGGGCAGAGGGCGGGGAGAGGGAGCGGCGACCCGCCCCCTGAGAGCGAGCGACAGCAGGAAAAGAGCCTGAGAGGGAATGCTGCTCGTTGCAAGGGACCGAACCTTCCTTGCTGAACCGGACCACTCGTTTCATTGGCTCACTGAACCCGCCCACCCTCCCCCGAGCCTCAGCAGCAGGCTCGGTAGCAGATGCTGGTGCAGGCTCGGTGAGTGTGGCTGGTTCGGTAACGGCAGGTGGAGCTAGGTTATGGGGTGGCTGGTCGTCGGAGGAAGGAAGAGTTGCTGCGAGTCGCCTCAGAAGCGACACTGCGAGCTTCAGGTGCCGTTTTCAGGTGCCGCTTCAGGTGTCCCCTCAGGTGTTTCATCAGGTGCCGCAGGTGAGGGCAGCACTGGGGATGAATTTTGAGACGCAGCAGCCTCAACAGGAGTAGCAGAAGGCAGCATTGGAGATTGACTTGTGGGGGCAGGCGACGCAAAGGCGAGAGAAGAGGAGGAGGAGGAGGAGGAGAGAATAGAGGAGGAGGAGGGGATGGAAGAGGAGGAGGGAAAGGAGGAAAGGGAGGGGATAGAGGAGAGGGAGGAGATGGAGGGGGATGAGGAGGAGGGAGAGGGCACGATAATGGTCGGAGGGGCTTTCCAGGAATGTGGGATCTGCACTTTCCGATTCACATACTCCCTGCTCCCTGCTGCTGCCTCTGCCATCCCTCCCAACCCTGCTGCACCCCTTGCAACCCCTGCACCTGCTGCACCTGCAGCTGCTGCGTCCTGCCGCTAATGCTGAAACAGAAACGACTCCTGAAGCGGACACGGAGGAAGGCACAGCACCCCACGGCTCGTCTGCGCTCGCCTATGCGCGCCAGCCCGCGCTCCTGCGCGCTGCCGCCCTTCATCAGCCTGCGCCCGCGCGAGCCCCCCCCAGCAGCAGCAGCACCTGACTTGCCTGCATCCACGGAACGGCTCGACGGAAAGCGACAGCTGGCAACACCGCCAGCGCTGCTGCTGGCAAGCAGCAGCAGCATCGCCATCCAATGTAACGCCAGGCGAAACGCTTTCTGTGCCTGCAGCTGCAGCTGTGCCTGCGCCTGCGCCTGCGCCTGCGACTGTGGCTGTGCCGCCACTGCCTCGCGCGCGGGGGGACGGCGCCTGCTGACCGCACTCGAAGCCCACTCGAGGGGACGGCGCCCTCTGCGTTGACTGGGGTGACTCGTGGACGGCTGTGGGGAGGGGGCGCGCTTGAGAGAGGTTTTGGAGAGGCCGCGCGTGAGGGGCGAGGCGGAAGGGAGCGAGGAGGAGAGGGGGCCGGAGAATGAGGAGAGAGGTCCGGAGAATGGGGAGGAGGTGAGAGGGCCGGAGAAGGGGGAGGAGGAAAGAGGGCCGGAGAAGGAGGAATGGGGAGGAGAGGGGCCAGGGTGAGAGCAGTGGAGGCGAGACAGGAGCGGGTGGCGGGTGCGACAGGGGCGCATTGCTAGACGCCTCATACGGCGGGTGCAAGAGCGGCAGCGGGCTGGAAAAGCTCTGCTTCACCGCTGTATGCGCGTGTGAGTGTGAGTGTGAGTGTGAGTGGGAGTGGGAGTGCGACGACCTCTCGTCCCTGCCTGCACTACGTGCAACACCATGGGCGACATCAGGCGAGAAGACGACCGATCGCCGGCCAATCCGCTGCTGCCGCTGCCATGCCTCCCCACGCTGTTCCCTCCCCTCCCTCCCCTCCATCCCCTCCCTGTTCGCCACCGCCTCACGACCCACTCTGCCCCACAACCCCTTGCCAGACCCGCTAGTGGCGGGTGACCCCGCGCCCGCCACCCACGACGCGCTCTTACTCACCTCCCTGATCGCGCCTCGCCGCTGCCTCCCCCTCGTCCCCCCTCCGCCACCGCCCGCGCCTCTACCGCCGCCCTCTCCCCCGCTGCCTCCGCTGCTGCTGTCCCTGCCGTCGCCGCCGCCGCCGCGGCCGCGAATGGCGCTGAGATCGAAGCTTCGGCTCACGGGAATGCGGCCAGACTGCGGCTCGCCGGTATAGCTGCTGCTGCTGATGGCGCCGCTGCTGGCGCTGCTCGTGATTCCGCCGCCAGCACTGGTACCGCCGCCGCTGCTGCTCCTGTTCTTCTCCACACTGAAAATGCTGCTCCCGCCTCCGCTTCCGCTTCCGCTTGCGCCGCCGCTGGTGCAGCGCGGGCTGCCGGCGGAAACAGGCGGGCTGATAGGGATGCGCGCGAGGGAAACACCACCGGGGAGGAAGTGCGCGGGGGGAGGGGGAGGCGGAGGGGAAGCAGGCGAGGGGAGGAGGCGGAGGGGGAGAGCGAGACTAAGAGATTGCGCGCAGCGTCTGGCTTCTGTGCGGGCCTTCCCCGCGCGCCAAAGACCGTGACCCCCAATGGTGCGGACGACCGCGGGGACAGGGGCGGCATGCCGCTGCGCCTCTGCGCCTGCCCTTCCCCGTGCCGCCACGCCTGCACCGCCTCCGCTCCGCCTGTTTGCGCCCAGATTTCCGCCTTCCGCGCCCAGCTCTCCGCCTGTTGCGACCAAAGTTCCGCCTGCAGCGCCCAACCCTCCGCCTGTTGCGCCGGTAAAGGCGGCCGCGGCGCAAGCCGCGGCGGAAATGTGGTTCTGGGATTGCGCCAGACCAACATCCTCACCCCCCACTTCTCCCGCTCCCCCCGCTTCCCCTGCCGCTCCGCCTTCTCCCCCGCTTCCGCGCTTCTGCGACAGCAGCTGAATGTGCGCGAGGGAGAGCGGGGGGGAGTTTGTGCCAGCGTACAAAGCGAGCGGCGGGGGAAGGGACGCGGAAGGGGAAGGCGAGGGGGAGGAGGAGGTGGACGAGACGCAGTGGGGAGACAACGGGATGTCTAGGCGGGAAAAACGTTTGCACGCGGGATGGGGCTGGAACGGGCGTGGCAGTAGCGGGGGGAGGGCCGGGCGCGGGAGTGAGCGCATGAGGGGCGAAAGTAAAGGGGGATACGGAGAGCGACCCGCTGCGGCTTCGGATGCGCAGATACGCCTCGCGCCGGCTCCGCGCGTCCTCCAGCAGCGCCTGTACGTGGCTGCGAGGGGGAACCTTCCCCGCGCCCGCGCCCGCGCCCGCGCCTGCGCCTGCGTCTGCGCCCGCGCCTGCGACCTCACCCCCAAGTCCCCCGATTCTTCCCGCCTGCCCCTCGTCGCATTCCCCTGCGCTTCCCCAGCCCCCCCTTCGGCTACTAACTGCCTGAATCCCGCCGCTATGGTTGGCGAAATCAACGGCCTTTTCCCCCTCCGCGTTCGCCCTGCGCGCGCCAGGCAGCGCGTCCGCGCAAGACTCCACGGCAGCGGGCCTCCCGCAATCTGCGCCGACCGCGCGCGCGTTGCGCGTAGCTTGTCCGCCGACCAGCCCCCGCGCGTGCGCGTGCCTGGCCATGATTGGCATGATGGCGAGCGCGGTAGCGGCTGCTGACTTGGCATCTGTAACAGGCGCCGCAATGGGGACGGCGGAAGACGACGTGGATGAAGTGCGGGTGGGGGAAGAGTCGGAAGAGGGGGAGCCGGGGGACCCCGCGAGGGAAAGGGGGAAGGTGGCGGAGTGCGGGGGGGCGGAAGGGCTGGCGGGAGGCGAAGCGGCGGACGAGAGAGGGAACACTGATGAGAACGCAGCGGAAGCCGCGGACCCTGCGGAAGCAACCTTATCCGATGGACCGGCGGACGGAGGAGATTTGACATTGCCTCCGACTTGCTGTCTCACGTTCTCGCCGCGTCCGCTCTGCGCCTTAGCGCGCCATTGCGACAGCACCGCCAACGCGCGGCTTACCTCCTCCGGCGGATCTACGGGCAGAGCTGCATCCGCGAAACTTCCTAACGCTCCCGTCTTGTCAGAAAAAGTCTGGATGGCATTTCGGCCTGCGATCCCACCGGAGGAGATTTTATCCGCAGATGGAAAAGCAAGCTCGATATTCGCTACCGCTGTGTCATCGTCGGAGCGCGCCTGGTGCGCGGCGCCGCAGAAAAACGACGCGGCGTCTTCGAGGTTTTCCAGGCTGGATCGCTGCTGAGCCATGTACGCGACAAAGGCATGCTCCGGTGACCCGTTACTAGGCGCGCCGAACGGCTGCGCCTTCGCGGCGGCGCGCGAGGGCTCTACAAATGACGCCTGCCGCCGAAACTCGCGCGCGCGGAAGGATCCCGACAGTCCGCCGTCCGCCGGATTCCCCGGAGCGGCATCTGCAGCATTCCGCCATTTGGTGATTCTCCCCACCCTGCTATGATTCCACGTCGTCGTCGCCCCCGTCGCCACCGCCCCCGCTGCCGCCCCCGCTGCCGCTCCCGCCACGGTCCCTTGCGCCATGATACCCTCTTTCCGCTCCGCCGAGCCCTCCGGGGCGCCCTCCGCCGATCCTTCCGCAAATTTCCTCGTGTTGTAGGAAGAACCGTTGAACGAGGAGAATCTGGTAATCCTATTCGCCGAATGTCCTTCTTCGCGCGGCCTCCCCGCGCCGTACCGAGGAACCCTGTCCCCCTCGACGGACTCCTCATCCGACGACGTTCCGAGCTCCTTCTCCCACGATTCCAACAGCGCCATTAGATCCACTCGTCGCGCTGCGCCGCCCGCGCCAGAAGCGGCGCGACCGCTCGGCGCGCTGCGGCCGGCCGCCGCCATGGCGGACCCAGTATCGAAGCTAGCTGTTCGCGGTATCGCAGCCAAGAGCGGTGCGGACGGGCGATGGGAGGGGATCGGCGCGGGTTCCGCCTCCCCAGCCTGCCGCGAAAGTTGCCTCATGAGCGGCTTAGAGGGCAGCGCAGAGGATGCGCGCGCGACTACGGCGGAAGGGGGAGCGGAATCTGTTCTGGCCGCCGGGCACGACTCATGCAAGCCGCAACCGCAAGGGCAAGGAGGCAGGAGATTCTCGATAAACGCGACGTAGCCTGGTTGAAGACAGTTCACTGGTTGATGATATTCCATGGCTCAGTGAGACTGGCGAAACGGACGCATACGCGCTCGACGGACCAGATCTAGCATGACTCTTGAGGCTCCTCGAGACGAGTCTCTCTACCCGCGATTTTGAGGCAACGCATTGTACAGTATATATTACGCGCGGATCTGACAAACATGCAGGACGTGCCGCAGATGAAGGTGGAAGGACACGCGTATGCTACAAGACCATTCCCTCGCCATGCCTTGTATGCATCACAGATTTGTGGCGTGGCAAACAACGGACTTGCTCTCAAGGAGAGTCAAGAGACTATGGTTGCTGTCGTAATACACGGAGGACAATAAGCAACAAGCAAGCTGCTTCAGCTGAGCCAGGCAGCATTTGGTCGCACGCACACTCCACGATGGCAGAGGTTGAACAAACATTCTCAATGAATGACCGTTGACCGGCCGTGTGCGACCGCTTACGACCTAGACAACGTCGCACAAAGAAAGTTTGGTACAGTTGGGCGGCAAATTTTGAGTATCGGAGATAATGGCCGATTCTTCTGCGGCAGCAGAGCAACATTGACCGAGTTTCCCTCCCTCCCTTGCTGCTGCTTACTTTCCACGAGATACTTGAAGGGTTTCGTACTGTACTGTACAAAAATCCTATGGTCATATGAGTCGCAGCAGGCACAACGATTGTCGCAGGCTTCCTATCCAAGTACTGTTCGGTAGGTCCCACACAGAATAAGGGTGTAGGACTGACGTCTAGCTTCTTTACGCTGTCGGGAAATGGCTCGTCGACGGGCAGAAGAAAGTTCAGCGAAACCCGGCGACGCGCAGATTGAGATCTTCCACGTTCGCAAGTGTGCCAACTGTTATCATGATAGTAAGCGCTCTCAGGTATAATCACCAGCAGAAACACGGTTTCGCGATATAGTGTAAAGCTACTCTGGCTCGCTTTTGTATATAGTCACTCAAAAATAATTCCAGCACTTGCGAAAAAAACCAAAACCCAAACGGAAAAGAATGCGACTCGGGAGGCATCAACCCTCAAAACAATGTTTAGGATTGACATTTCCCGAAAATGCGTCCAGGTACCCTCGTGGAATATTTATTTCTGCCATGCCCTGATAGTTCTCGGTAGCGTCGTCTAGTGCTTTAGGAGCGTTGTTTAGCGGTCGGTTGCGCTACCGAGCACTACCAATTGATTTATATGGGCTTACTACCTAAATTTCCGAACTTATATCCAAGTCGGGAGGTAAACTGGATGGTTCTGTTTTGGTCCCTTTCAATTGAGTTCGACCGGCATGAGAAATGTGACTATAAAGCGACGAAAAATCAACGTTGAGAAAGTCCAGGTTGATTACACCTGAGAACGCGCTCAGGCAAAATCTGAGTATCGGAGATAATGGCCGGCGGAAGAATGATGCACAAGTCTGCACTTAGCAGCCTTGCATTCAAATGGAATCATCTTTTGTCCTGTTCTGCCTTTCCACAATTCCACCCTGTGCTGTTGCTCTGACCTAGTTTACCAACCTCAGACCTGGTCTGACAGACCGCCTGCCAGTCCTCGGCTGTGCCTAAGGGCATGTTACACTGGCCGTCCGGACGATTGTGTGGTTACGGAACTCGTCAAATCTCGACAGTGAGTTCGTCAGGTTCTAAACGACGTCGCAATCTTCGTGTTGCCTCCTTATGACATCGCATCGGTCGCAAGACGACAATGCGACGTCGTAATGTTCACACACGTCCGGACAGCTGTCCGGACTTTCAGTGACTTTCAAAAATATAGCACGCCCTAAACAATTCTTGTCACACCCCTCACACCGGGTAGGTGTTAGGCAATTACAAACCCCTTGTCAGCGAGTGTCGGTGTGAGGCAATTTTGCCCTAGGGTGTGAGCAAACACTATTTTCTGTTTTCTCCAATATTCAAATTTCAAGAGCAAAGATCTTGCTGTGTTTTCTCCCACGCCAACCGTAGTGCAGTTGTTTCGGCATACCCTGCCAAGATTCGAAATGCTGCCAGTGCTGCCCTAATTCGCGGCGCCTTCACACTGGTTGCGGAAAAATCATAAATTGGCACAAGAACATTGACCAGGTCTCGATCCTCGATATTGGATGTCGCTCGATAATGACATTTACAAGAGAGTGCGCGGACGTAACAAAGGACTCAGCTAAAATATGAAGGAAGTGATGATTCAAGTGAAAGCCTGTAATATATAGGGAGAGCCCTAGCTAGGCAGGTGTTACGAGTGCAATTGAGTGACCGAACGAGAATTTCACTATCGAAGCAAGAGTACAATGAGCGGAGGCATGAGCGAAGAATATATGGCGAAACTACAGTGGTAACGGTAATTGACAAGTTGTCGTGCGACGGGCCTAGGACTGAGGTTGGGAAAAGTGTCGAAGCGGAGGCCCAGGGCGCGGGTTACCCGCCGAGCCGTGAGGTCGGGGTGTGATGTGCGAAGGTGGCGGGCGGATTGTCGATGCGAGGGTTGCCAGTGGTAACGGTGCTGACTGTGGTGCTACAGTGATGTACGCGTTGAGCAGGGATGCGAAGTAAGGAAAAGGAATTTTCCTTACACTACCCCCCCCCCCCCCCCCCCCCCCCTAAGGAGGTCCTCCTTACGAAAGTGCGTTGTACATCCGTGAAATTTCGGCTGCGTAGATACTCGGTGAGGACGGGGTGGTTTTCGATTCTGTCCAGGGGAACCCAATTGTCTTCGGTGGATGTACGGTCCTTCCAGCGGAGTAAGATCTCGATCCTTCGGGCTCCTCGAGGGTCGCGAACTCTGTGACTCAGGATTTTCTCGCAGGTGATGATTGGTTTAGTTGATGGTCTTGTCATGCTAGCTGGGCGATTGCGTGGCAATTGGCTCGTGGACGGGACGTAAGGGCAAAGTAGGCTGACGTGGAATGAGGGGCTGACATACCAGAGTGCAAGCATGTGGTGGGCGGTGACGGGTGTAAGCATGTGGCTTATGCGAAATGGCCCGCAGTATCGGGGGCGGAGTTTCGAAGTGATAGGCAGTCGGAGGTTCTAAGTGTCAAGTAAAACTAAGTCGTCGGGCTGGTAAGTGACAGGTCTGCGGTGGCGGTCGACGTTGCGTTTAGCGATGATGTTCGATTTTTTTATTGCGTCAGCTGCCCGGGTCCGTGCCGCTTGTAATATTTCGGCGAACTATTGTGCTCGTGGTACTAGGTTGGCGGGGTTCGGGGTCATGGGTACTGTCGGGTCTTGTCCGTAGTTTAGGTAAAATGGTGACTGTTGGGTCGTGGCGGATGGCGAGTTGTTGTACGCGAATTCGATTAGTGGCAGTTGCTGTTCCCACGTGGTCGGGTCGTCACACGTGGCCCTGATGAGTTGTTCCATGGTCTGATTTGTCCGTTCCGTCTGTCCGTCGGTTTCGGGGTGGTATGATGAACTGAACTGCAGTCGCGTGCCGAACTGCTGCCACAGGTTCCGCCAGATTTTGCTGGTGAATTTCGTGTCGCGGTCGCTGATGATCGCGGCTGGTATCCCATGCAGTTGAACGACGGTGGAGATGAAGAGGCGTGCTGTTTCTTCGGCTGTGATTGATTTTTTGCAGGCTGCGAAATGTGCCATTTTCGTCAGTCGATCGACGACGACCAGGATCGTGTCGTTCCCACTCGCCTCGGTTGGTAACCCCGTGACGAAGTCCATTGTCACCTGCTGCCAAGCACGCTCTAGGGGTGGTATCGGCTGCAACTGTCCCGCCGGCCGCTGTCGTGATGATTTCATGAGCTGACAAGTGGGACACGATGTCAAACTCATATGCTATAGTCTGTGTAGCCTGTAGTGGGGTAGAGAATATGGGGTACAACACATATAGGTCTTCCTACTTATGCCCGCCTGCTTGCTAGATAATTCATTCCTCATTTCTCACATGGTATAGAGCAGGTTCCCTAGTGGGAACTTTTCCTAGGGCCCACCACTGATTATTTTTTTTTCCTGCCCTGAGATCGAGTCGCCCCTGACCGAGGCGCGCCCTGTGTGCCGCCCTCCCCTTAGCGACCCGTCGCGCCGCCCTTAGCGGCCCCCCTCTCTCACGGCCCCTCGCGACCCCGTCGCCGCCCCCTGGCGGCCTGTCGCGCCGCCCTGAACGGCCCGTCGCGTCGCCCTAAACGGCCCCTTGCGGCCCCACCTCCACGGCCCCGTCGCCGCCCTCTCGCGGCCCCGTCGCCTCACTCTCGCGGCCCCGTCGCAGCCGTTCACGGCCCCGCCGCCGCCCTTAGCGGCCGCGTCGCCGCCCGTCGCGGACCTGCAGCCGCTCCTCGCGGCCTCGTCACCGCCCCTCTCGCGGCCCCAGTGCCGCCCTCTCGCGGCCGCGTCGCCGCCCTCTAGCGGCCCCGTCGCCGTCCTCTCGCGGCCGCGTCGCCGCCCTCTAGCGGCCCCGTCGCGGCCCTCTCGCGGCCGCGTCGCCGCCCTCTAGCGGCCCCGTCGCCGCCCTCTCGCGGCCGCGTCGCCGCCGTCTAGCGGCCCCGTCGCCGCCCTCTTACGGCCTCGTCGCCGCCCTCTCGCGGCCTCGTTGACGCCCTCTGGCGGCCCCGTCACCCCCCCCCCCCCCCCCTTTCGGCCCCTCCTCGGCCTCTTTGCCGCCGAACAGCCGAGCCGCCGAGCCGCCGAACAGCCAAGCCGCCGAGCCGCCTGCAGCCGAGCCGCCGAGCCGCCGGAGCCACCGTCGAGCCGCCATTGCCACCGCAGCTGCAGCCCTGTTCCTACCGGTGCGCCCCGGCCCTAACCACCCGGACTGGTGAGAGCACTCCCTGCTAGACCACTGCTGTCATGGCTACCCCCAGTGTCCTTACCTTTGATGCTGAGGGTCGTGCTGTTGACTTCGAGGTCTGGGTCGATGACCTGAAGCTCTTCCTACAGTGCGATAGGGCAGACGGATTCTCCCTGTTTGATCTCACCTCTGGTGCCTCTCCTGCCCCGCCTGCTGATGCTGACAGCACTGCTCGCTCACAGTGGCCCACGCGCGATGCTGCTGCCCGTCTTGCTGTGCGTCGCCACTTACCGACCGCTGAGCGTGCACACTTAAGTCAGTACAAGATTGCTAAGACCTTGTGCGATGCTGTAGTTGCACGCTACTCTTCCCTTGCCACTGCTGCCCTTAGCCGCCTCATACTACCGTACCTGTTTCCTGACCTCGCCGCCTTTCCCACTGTCGCTGACCTCGTTACGCACCTTCGCACTTGTGACACCCGCTACCGCGCTGCGCTTCCTGCTGAGTTCTGCGCCAAGAACCCCCCCCCCCCATGTACATCACCCTCTACTACATAGTCACCCGGCTCCCTGACTCCCTTCGCTCGGTCAGGGACCACTTCCTCTCTGTTTGCCCCACCACACTCACTGCTGACCACCTCGAGGAGCGCCTCCTGGCAGATGAGAAGAGTATAGTCGCTGTAGGAGCCTCTCGAGGTGACCCGCGTGCCCCTGTCTTTGAGGGGTGCTCCCCCTCCCCCCTCTTGCCCTCTGCTGCCTCTGCTGCTGCCGTCAACTTCGTTGGCACCGAGTCGGTCGGCGCTGCGTCTGCCTCTAGCGGGCGACGCCGCACTGGCAAGGGCAAGGGGGGCAAGGGCGCTGGAGGAACTGGCGGGGGCGGTGGAGGTGGAGGTGGAGGAGGCGGAGGGAGTGCGGGTGGTAGTGGGAGTGGTGGCGGGTGTGGGGGCTTCGGTGGCGGCAGTGGCGGCAGAGGCGGCGGCGGCGGCGGTGGCGGAGGTGGCGGCGGAGGAGGTGGAGCTAGTCGGGGTGGCTCTGCGCAGCGGGGCGGCTTAGGTGCTGGTCAGCGCCAGCAGCAGCAGCGCACTCGTGAGACCCCGTCCCTCCAGCAGCTTCGTGAGTGGTACGCTGCGCGTCAGCGAGGTGGGGGTACTCGTCCCTGTACCTACGTCCTCCGTACCGACGACCACGCTGGTAAGCAGTGCGTGGGCTAGCACTCCACCCAGCGCTGCTTCGGCCGCCTGACGGACGCTTGGCGTCACCAGTTCCCTGACGCCACTGAGATCCCTCGCTGAGGAGAGCTGTCTAGGGCGGAGGTTGCTATCTTTGATCTTGACTATGATGCTATTCTTGCTGTCATGTATGCTGTGTCTACTAGTGATGATGAGGGTGACTGTTACCTGTGTGCTCCTTCTTTCGAGACCGTACCACCCTTACGCCGCTTAGTCGGCCGGTTGCGGTCTCCTTGGCGGACCCCTCTGGGGTCCTGTCCTTGCTCACTTCTCCACTGTCTTACCGTGTCCGGTAGCCCCCTCAGGCACCCTGTCAGGTCTCTACCTCCCCTCGTTGTCTACGAACCTGGTGAGCGGTGCTGATCTACAGGATGGGGGGGTTTACCAGTTCACTCCCGCGAGTCAGCGGGTGACCCACTGTACGTGTGCTCGGACGGGCCGACACTTGGCCACGTTTACCCGTCGGCCGGGGTCGAGCCTGTACACACTGACTACTGAGTCTTCTCCGGGTGCTGAGTCTGGTCAGGAAGCTGCGTCAAGGTAGGTGTTTGCTGCAGCGTCCAGGTCTGGTCCTGAGTTTGCTCCCTGCTCGTGTCGTCTCCTGTCCCACCAGACTCTCCTTTGGCACCATCGCCTTGGTCACCCCTCCCTGCCTCGTCTCCGAGGCATGGCCTCCCGTTTCCTTGTCTCTGGTCTCCCCCGGTCCCCCCCCTCCCCTCCCTCCGGGGCCTGCCCCTACATGCATTCCCTGCATCGAGGGACGGCAGCGCGCAGCCCATCACTCCTCCGAGTTTCCTCCGACAGAGGCTCCCCTGCGGACTCTTCACATGGACGTGTGGGGCCCCGCCCGCGTCCGTAGCCAGGGTCACGAGCGTTACTTCCTGTTGCTGGTTGACGACTACTCGCGTTACACCACGGTCTTTGTCAACGGGAGTTGGGTATTGGCCCCGTCCTCGCTTGGGCGGAGCCGACTTCGTGGTCGGGTGTGAGGGGAGCAGCCGGCCTTTAGTAGTGGGTGAGTTGGTCGACGAGGAGGTCGACCTGCACGGGGGACCACTGCACGGGCGCTGACTTCAGGGTGGCGCCGACTTCAGGGAGGTCGACTTGGGTGTCGACCTGCGGAGGACGTCAACTTGGTGACGTCAACTTGGGGAAGCCGACTTCGGCAGTCGGCTAACGGACTGCTGGTCGACCTGTTAGTGGTCGACTGGACCTGGTGGTCGACGAAGGAGGGGCCGACGACTGTGCTGGTCGACGAGGAGCAGGTCTACCAGGAGTGCTGGTCGACGTGGAGCTGGTCGACCAGAGGGGATGTCGACCTGGAGGAGGTCGACTGATGGTGTCGTCGACCTGGTGAGGTCGACGTGGAGGTGGTCGTCGACTTGGGAGGTCGACGGGCACGTACGGGAGCTGCTGGTCGACGTGGTTGCCTGGTCGACCAGGTTACCTGGGTGACGAAGTGCTGCGGAGGAGTGCGACGGTCGCCCAGGCGAAGTTGGCGAGCCCGACCTCGGTGGTGGTATCCCGAGGTCGTCGTGGCGGATCAGAGGCAGTCGTCAGCTCGAGGTTGACGTGGTGTGTGCGCTGTGCAGGTGACAAGACTCTGCGCGCCAATCATCTGCGCACAACTGCGAAGCAGGGTGCACTGCTGTCCTGCGTGAGCAACGCTGTCACGCCGTCAACCTGCGACGTTGGCACGCCGTCGACCTTGCCTTGCTGGAGCGCGGTCGACGAAGTCGTGCTGGAATGCGGTCGACCAAGCTGCGCTGGCAGTTGCCCGACCTGAATGCTTGCTCTGATGTAGTCTTGCATTGCCAACTTCATTGTACCCTTTTGTTCTGAACTTTCTCCTAGTGAAACTCTTGCCAATTTTCCCCGTGAACTAGCAAGTAGTGTGTGCACAAGGAAAACGACTAAGAACTAACGAACGCAGAGATCACACGAGCACATGTGCCTAGCCCGTAGCCTAGCTCCCGTTGCTGCAGTTATCTCCGCATGGTGCGGTGAGCGTGGACGGCACACGACTTACCTTTCAGTCAGGTCGACGTAGACACCACTTACCTATTTCGTAGTTGCAGGCCGGCAACTGTGCTGTAGTCACTATGGTAGGAGCCGTAGGTGACGCGGGGGTGGTGGACACCCTAGAGGCACGGTTGGAGAACGCGAGGAGGAAGCACGAGGCCAATGAGTATGGCGACTTGCCCTGGCCGGTCGTCGAGGCTGGACTCCGCTCCATGTGGGCGACGGAGCACCCGTCTCGACCTGCCTCTCCTCGTCCGGTGAACAACGAAGGCGGCGTCGACGTGGGCGTCAACACCGGTGGTGGTCAAGTCGGCAGCAGTGCTGGAGGCACGTCGAGGCAAAGAGGTGTGATACACGCCGGTGAAGTCGGCGGCGTTCAGGCGCGAGGGATGCAGTCGTCGGCGGCTGCAGGCTCTTCGCGGGGTGACGTCGGAGGTCGACGGAGTGGGCTGTCGACGATGTCGGCGTCCCAGGTGACGGCGGGTGGGATTGCACCGAGCTACGGCTACTTCAAGTTTACGCCGGACAGGATCTCGGTCACCCCTCCGCTGGTCGGTCGACCCGACATACTCACCTGGAAGGAAGCCATCGAGCCCCAGCTGGAGATGGCCGGGCTGATCGGCTTCGCCCGAGGGACCGTGGCGACGCCGGAGGAGCACCACCCCGACCTGCGTGCGGAGTTTCGCGCCGTGCAGCTGTTGACCTTCACGGTCATCTCGCGATGCTGCTCGCCGGGCGTGCAGATCGCCTTGAAGTGGTGGCGGGAGTACATCGACGCTGGCCACCGGGCGTGACACTTCATTGAGTCGACGTACCAGGTCACCGACGACCTGTTCATCGCCCAGCTGGAGGGACAGCTGACGCAGCTGCGTATGGGCGACGAGGAGAGTGCGACCGACTATTGCAACCGAGCCAGGCGAATTCTCGCCACCATCAGGATGGCCGGCGCGCAGTATTCCACGGCGTCGTACATCACCCATGTCATGCAGGGACTGTCTAGCAGCTATAACCTGCTGAAGCGGCTGTCTATGGCGCCGAGCACAAGGGCGACGCTCAACGAGGACAACCTGACCTCGTATATCCTGCAGGACGAGGCGATGCAGGAGGCTGAGCGATCGCAGGAGCTCTTGGTGCAGGCCAACTTTGTCGCCCCGGTGAAGCAAGGAGGCCGACCAGGACAGCGCGGACAGCCTGGTGGCGGCGGGAGCGGTGGCTGGAAGTCGACCGAGGAGGTCGAGAAGAAGTCGACCAAGGACGGCGGTCGAGGAGGAGGAGGTCGACGTCGGGACTGCTGGATCTGCCACAGCCCTGATCATCTCTCCTTTGAGTGTCCTGACCGCAGTGACTCCGACGACGACAACAAGGGCGGCCGCGGGAGGTCTGGCAGCCGTCGTCCTCGTCGAGGAGGAAACAAGCCGCGCAAGGAGAACCAGTCGACGACATCGACCTCGGCGAAGGACGCCGACTCCGTTGTACGCGGCAAGGGGCGAGACGACAAGGTGGCGTCGTGCTCGCTGGTCGGCGTCGTGGAGCCGACCATCTCTCTGGCACCGGAGGCCGGAGAGGACTTCCAGGCGGTGGCGGCAGCTATGCAGGCGAACCCGGCGGTGGTCCTGCTCGACAGCGGTTGTTCCCACCACCTGATGGGAACGAAGGAAGCCTTCGTCGACCTGCAGCCGAGTGGCTCCATCAAGCACGTGCGCGGCTTTAATGGGGCGCTGCAGGACGTTCAGGGCCGTGGCACCGTCTCCCTGCAAGGAGAGGCCGTGAAGGAGGTGCTCATCCCCGACGTGCTGTACGTCCCGAGTGTGCGGGCCAACCTGCTGTCGGCCGGCCAGCTGAAGGAGCACGGCATGAAGCTGCAGGAGGACGACGACGGCATGCTGCTCGTCTCGGCAGCAGGGGAGGTGCTCGGGCGGGCGACGTACTCCGGGCGAGTCCTCTGCACCGACCTGCGTCCCTGCGCGACGAGGTCGACGCCGCCCACGACGGAGGTGGCGGCTCTGCGGGCGATCGTCTCGAAGACGAAGTCGACGCCGGACCGGATGCATGCGAGGCTTGCGCATGTCGGCATGGACACCATACGGAGCTCGGCGAAGAACGAGGTCGCCATTGGGCTGGACCTCAAGTCGGCGACGGACGCCGACTCCCCGTGTGTCTCGTGCGTCGGCGGGAAGCTGGCGCGACACACCTTCCCCGACCACGGCTCCGACGCCGACGACGTGCTGGCCGTCGTGCACATCGACCAGTGCGGGCCGTTTCGCGTGGCTGCCAAGGATGGCAGCCTGTACTTCTTGCTGCTGAAGGACCACAAGACCCGTTACGTGTGGGTGAAGCCGGTCGCCAAGAAGTCAGATGCTTTGTCGGCGTTCGTACAGTGGCTGGCGGTGGCTGAGCGGCAGACGAAGAAGTCGGTGTTGATGCTGCGCTCAGACAGGGGAGGGGAGGTCCTCAGGAAGCACTTCACCGACTTCGTGAACGGCAAGGGGATCGTCCACGACCTGACCTGCCCATACACCCCGCAGCAGAACGGCATGGCGGAGCGGGAGATGAGGACGGTGGTGGAGTCGGTGCGGACAATGCTGCTGCACATGGGTGTGCAGCACCACTGGTGGCACCTCGCTCTGCGGCAGGCCGTCTGGGTCCGCAACTGCCTTGAGAGGTCGACGCTGCCGCCGGGGACGACGCCGTACCAGCTGCTGACCAGGAAGAGGCCCGACTTGTCGCTGGCGCGGGTGTGGGGCTGCATGGCGCAGTTCCTTGTCCCTGAGCAACAGCGTGGTGGGAAGCTGCAGCCGAAGGCCAAATGGGGCCTGCACCTCGGCGTGTCGCCGGCAAGCAAGGGCTGGGAGCTCCTCGACGTCAACACCGACCGAGTGGTCACCACGTCGGACGTGGTGTTCTACGAGGAGATGTCGCTGACCGAGTGGAAGACGGAGCACGGGTCGGGGTCCGGCCGC